CTTGATTTAAACCCCAAGGAGCTTGGTGGAAAAAACATTTTTGTTTAGTTCTAAATCCATAAAGTGATTCTGGTTTCCTTTTTCAAGTGCTCTCCATGGCGAGATAATGCGTGCTGCACAGCCAACACCTCTGCAGAAGCCCATGACGATGCCTCTTATCTCTACAACTTCAACTGGAATCACTGTGGTATTATGAGCAAGGAGTGCAAAAAACATTTCATCCAGGACACTTGTTTTTATGAGTGCTCACCACACTTGGGACCCTGGATACAACCGGTGAGTATTCTCATCCACGTGTGCATTTGAGTGTCTAATGTTTGTCTAAATTTTTGTCACTAGATGGCAGCACAGGAAGTTGAAAGGACAGAAATGGTCTGTTGTTCAAACTGATGAAACAGAATTTTTATATATATATGTATATATATATATATATATATACGCAGTAGTTAGAACTATGAGGGAAAGGGGCTTATTTAGTTTATTACTGATTATACTAATCAGCCAATGGTGTGCATTTGTGTAGGTGGATCAGAGCTGGCGTAAGGAGCGCATCTTAGATGTGCCTTTATGTAAGGAGGACTGTGAAACCTGGTGGGAAGACTGCAAGAATGATATCACCTGCAAAGATAACTGGCACAAGGGATGGGACTGGAGCTCAGGTGGGGCCCACACTTGGAAAACACAAAGCAGACATGCATGTTTGTGCTTGCATTTCTCTTATAAACCACAGCAAGCATATTCCCAGTTTTGCAAAGACATTTTCACACAGAGATTTTTGTTGTTGTTGCTTTTACATTTACATCTATGCAGAAGCAACACTATTAACATTTATCAAATGCATTCAATTCCGTCACAGGTATCAACAAATGCCCTGAAGGTAGCAAGTGCAGTAAGTGGACTGATTTTTTTCCCACACCCAAATCCATGTGTGAAAAAATCTGGTCCAACTCTTACATCTATACCACATACACCAAAACCTCTGGGAAATGCATGCAGCTCTGGTTCACCGGCACAAACCCCAACAAGAAGGTTGCTGAGTACTACCTCAACAATGGGCAGCAACAGCAAAGCTCTGCTCTGCCAACACTGCTCTTCCTGGCTGTCACATCTCTCTCTGTAATGATTCATTAAAATTAATATTTCTGACCATTGCTGTATCACCTTGAATTAAAACAGATTTCTTAAACCTTTCTGTCAGTCCCTGAGCCACTTCTTATACAGTAAGACCCCTTTGGCTGGCATTCTAGTAAAAATCATCAACTAGAAAATGTCAGGTATTGATGATACAAAAAATATTCTGATAACAAAAGTTACCTGCTTGGGAATATACTGGGTAATTAGTTTAAACAGCAGCATAATCACCATCAGAAGTCCAAATCAGTTAATAATGCTCAATGCATAAAACTTGTTTCATCTACTCTCATTACTGTGGGGAGCAGCTGGCAGTTCTCCTTTTTTGTCTTCCTCTTCAGAATAAGTAAAAGAGAAAACAGACATAAAGAACAAGATTATAATTTCGTCAGCCAACACAGCAATTTTGTGTCCAGACAAGTGCTGTACAATCAAAGATCTGTGCGGACTGGGGAAATAAAACAAAAATAAACTTGTGCTCCTGGAGAAGCCATGAAGAGACACATGCCACATTCTGTATTACTGCACAGCTCTGGAATGATATTTCTCTTAAGTGCAGTCTATGGATCAGCTTAATAACCCCTTCACAACCTCAATGACCAGGAGGGAAACTGTAAAACTGACCCTGGGAAAATGTTTCTCCGTGCTGGGCCCCAGTGATCGCACCATCACATGATCAGTCCGGGGCCAGCCAGTGGTTAGTGGGCTCTGCTGCTCGGTAATTATGGGGTTCCAGTCCCCTGAGTGTGTGTGTTTGTGGCAGAGAGAGAAAGACAGAGAAAAAGAGTGAGAGCCTAACTCCCTCCATGTGTACACGTGTTTGATGTGTGCCTGTCAATGCCGCATGTGAATGTGCTCCATCAGGTCTCTGATAAAGGCTTTTGATTGGTTAAAATGTAACCACAGATGCCTTTGGAGGCTTAAGGATCAAACTGAGATGCATATTTTATGTACCCTGTACTTAATCAAGACTTCATATAAGTACTTGAAAAAACTATAACTATAACTTGCTGTGTTTAACATACTAATAACAACACCCTTCCTCGTGATACCACTGTTAATTTAGCATATCGAGTTTAGTCTGTGTATCTCACCCTAGTCTTTCCTGTTTCTTCTGACAGCATAAACAACACCCACAGAACTTCTGTATATAAGAGCTTGAATTACAGAAGACGGTTTGCCAAGTTTTTGCCAAATTATGTTGGTTATTTATGGTAAACAAAGTACACTCAGTGCCCGCTCAATCACAACTGCTTTAAAGACACATTCCTGAGAGATTTTGGTACATATTGCCATGACATCATCATGCAGAAGCTGCAGATTTGTGCCACCACATCCCACATTCTAACAGTACTTTATTGGATTTAGATCTGGTGACAGTGGAGGGACTCTGAGCACAGTGAACTCTTTGTCATGCTATACAAATCAGTTTGAGATGACTTGAGTTTTGTGACATGGAGCATTGTCCAGCTGGAAGCAGTCATCAGAAGATGGATACACCATGGTCATAAAGGGGCATGGCATTGTCAGCAACAATAGTCAGGAAGGGTGTGGTGTTTAATTTGTGCTCAGTTGGTACTAAGGATGCCAAAGTGTGCCAAGGAACTATCCCCCACACCACTAAGTTATCAAAAGCACCCTGAACCATTGATGTGAGGCAGGATGGTACCAAGGGCTGGTCAGACCAATAGTTATAAGGGGACCCAAAAGATTGTTGACCACTCAGAGGGAATCTGTAACTGAGGGGTACTGCTGAGGGGACCCTGGGGAGTCTGCCCATTGGTTCTTTTCCAGGAGAGGTGGACATTGATAGAGGAGAGCAGGCATATGGTGAAATGAGGTGAGAGCTCCAAAAGAGCTTTACAGTAGAAGTTGACCAGCAGAAAGGAAACAGTTTTGTTCGGCAGATGAGAAAACCACTTATTTAGCCAGAATCAGACTTTTATTAATCCCTGAGAAAATTATGCATACATATGTAGCCAGGAGGAAGTGGAAATGTGGCGAAAGAGCACTAACACACTGAGAGGGTAAGTTAACAAAGGTGTTGCAAAACAACCTGATGAGGAGGCTGATAATCTGGTGGAGGCTGGGAGCAGAAACAGCTACTTTTAAACAGTGACTGATGAGACTGATAAACACCAAAGAACCCAGTGTTTGACCATGACAGATGGATCCATGCTTTCATGATGTTTAGACCAGATTCTGATCCATCCCATGATCTAAATGTTTTTCCAAACTTCTTTTGTCCAATTTTGCTGACACTGTGTAAAGCCTCAGATGCAGCCTCAGTTTCCTGTTCTTAACTCACAGGAGTGACACCCAGCGTGTTCTTTAGCTACTGCAGCACATCGGTGTCAAGATCCGATGTGTAACGAATGGTTATTTCGTTATTGTTTTTCCTTCAGCTCAAAACAGTCTGGCCACTCTCCTTTGACCTCTGACATTCACTCAGAGAACTGCCGCTGGCTGGATATTTCCTGTTTTACAGACCATGCTTTGCAAACCTTAGAGACGTTTATGTGGGGAAAACATTTTCTTAAATGTTCAGATTAGCTGGCACCAACAATCATGCCACATTCAAAGTCATTTAAATCACCTTGTTTCCTCATTCTGATGTTCAGCTTGAACTCCACTTGATCATGCCTACATGCCTAAACACACTGAGCTTCTGTCACATGATGGGCTTATTAGATCATTTTGTTCACAACCCGTGGAACAGGTGTACATAAAGTGACTGCAGGTGAGTATAAAGACAGTATAAAGACAATCAGTCCACTAAGAAAGAATTTAAAAAGCCATTCTTGAAATATTAATGGACTTTTGAATTTCATCATGTTAAAAATGATACCAATTGCAACATTCCCCTGACACCAGCAACCATTAGCTACTCTACGCAGCTAAACTGGGCTAATTAATGCCTACAAAGCAGCAGAGTTACAGTCAGTGGAAGACAAAATGTTTTGCAGATAATAAAGGAGATACATTTCTCTAAACGTCAGCGAATTCTGCATGTGAATATCAAAGAGTAAACAGAGAAACTAAAGCTAAAAGTGTGGCATCAATGAATTACAATAACAAATGACGCTAACATTGTGGAGTACTAAGAAATAGCCAGTAATTTGGCCTCCACAGGCTCAAAATCTCAAGAATCAAGTGTCTATGAAGTTGTCTTTCCTGTGTTGCCCAGCAATGGCCATTACTGGTGTGCTGTGTGCTGTAACAACTGCAGCAGACAATTGTGGTTAGCCAAAAAGACAAGAATGAGTTATTTACGCTACATTTTGCTGACAGTGTAGTTTTAAACTCATGAGACATCTTGCAATACGCTTTTATGATCGCCGCATGCAGACACATTGTTAAGCCACACACTTTTACAGTTTCACATTCATCTCACACACACAGTGTGATGCCATAACCAGAAATAGCACTGGGATGGCTGCTGTCCCCGTGGCTATTAATACTCAGCTTTTCTGAGGTCATTGGCAACACACGTTGCTCTGCCCAACTCTCACTCTCTCTCTCACTTTATGCCTATATTCTTGCTTGTTCCATAACATCCTTCAAGAGTCAGACTTGATTCTGGGCAGGGGAAAAAGGCTAAATCAGAGTAACGAGCAAATATTTCAAAATGCTGGGTTACTCCTGTGGTTTGTAAGACTGGCCCTTAGGTGGGCAGTTACACCTTGTGGGAGTGCATGTGAATGTGTGTGGTCTGGAAAAGAAAAGGATTGCATAACTGGATTTAAGCTTGGGCTGAGAAATGACTGCAGCTGGGCCTCCTCAGTGGCTGTAGGTCACACTGATATTCAAAGAGGAAAGCCCTCTGGCATTAGTCAAGGCTTTGACTATGTAGGCTAAGTGACCAGGACACAAGAGTAGGAGTGTGTCTTTCAGTTACTGAAAGCTTTTTAATAATTTGAATGAAAACCTACTACTCATCACTTTGGAAAAAAACATCTAAACCACATTTTAAATGTTAGTAATCTCATAGGAAAAACTTATCCAAGTACAACTGATACAGCTGATACTGTACCCAAAGTGTTTAGTAGTTATGATACTTACCTCAAAGGTCTACAAAGCACTTTAAGATTGCAGCTTGTTAAGGTGCCGATCATTTGAGCCATAATATACTGTATTAATGCATTATATACTGTTTATTGATGTGTATAAAACCAATATCTTAAGCTTTGTAGTGGAGTAAAGCCAAATATTTCTCTTGAAGTGGAGAGAGGCGCAAAGAAGCTTAAAATGAATTTACCTTATACTTGTGCTCACTTATTCTCTATCTTCTTTCCTCATTTTATATGTTTATCTATCACATGAGATCTTCATCTCTTCTTCTTTGTCAAGTTCGTTAGTGATAGACATGAAGGTGAAACCCACTTTACGTGCTTTTTTCTTTACAATAAAATGACCCAGTGGAAATTCGCCCACAATTTGTTTTATTTTGAAACGCCCAAAAGGAAATGCTTTTTTTTCGACCCCACGGTGACTTGACCGAGTTCGTCCTGCTGCTGCTCCCCGGTCTCCACTGTGGATTTACATACCCTGATTTCCGTGGGACTGGGAAGAGAAGGGGGAGGGCGGTGAGCCTTTCAGGAACTGAGGAAGCAGCCGCAAACGGCATAACTTAACAAATTAACAACTTGTGTGCTCGCCGTCGCTTCTGTGGCGCCTCCTGCCTTCTGTCGGAATAACGGCTGCTTTTCTGCTCTTCTGGCTCTCTTCGCTTCTCTCGCTGGATCATTTTCCTATACTGGAGGAGGGCTGGGAGTTTTTTCGGAGGAGACGGGAAGCAGCTTGAGTTTAACCCGGTTGGAAGGGCTGTGGCCATGGCCGGGGGTGGTGGTGGCGGCGGCAGTGGGGCTTCTCCGTTGGGCCCCGCACCGCCGATGTGGTATCACCGGGACCTGAGTCGAGCGGCGGCCGAGGAGCTGCTTGCCCGAGCCGGTAGGGACGGGAGCTTCCTGGTGCGGGACAGTGAGAGTGTCAACGGGGCTTACGCTTTGTGTGTACTGTAAGTAACTTCGTCGGCCTCGTTGTGCTTTGTTTACCTTGGCTTTAGCTAGCACACATGACCAAAAGGGGTCATGGTGTGTTCTCTGTAATTCTGCAAACTTTAAAAGCTCCTCTCTTTTTTTACTCCGTCATTAACTTTTCTGCAGTATCAAAATCAAACTGTAGCTGAAGCGTGCCTAGCAAAGCGTTAAGTTGTTTGTTTACTTTCTTCTGGAAGCCAAAGACAGGGAGAGAGAGACTGCCTGTCTGCCCTGCAGTGAAACCCCAGCATGGCACACAACTTTAGGGCTGTCCCTGTCTGTCTTGTGTCTGATGTGGTCGCCTGCAGCGCCCTTTTTACAGGACTCTGCTGCAATCAGCCTGCGGGCTGTGAGCAGTGGCATTAAACTGAATGGTCGTGGAGGTAAATATAAACATGCATGGGCTGGTGAAGCTTTGCTTTAATTTGAGGTCGGAGATGTGGTGAAAGAATGAGCCTATCCGAGGAGTTGTACATAATATAGTATATCATGAAATGACACAATATCATAGGAAAGTTAAGAGCGTCTGTACTTAGAGGGAGTTAGGGCAGCCACCTTGTTAAATAAATGATGAAAGACTGCCCATTCATTACACAATGGGGACTTTTCCACCAAACACCTACATGTGTAACAGTAACACAACAGTGCATTCACCTGAGGAACTGATGCAGGAACAGTGCTGTCAGTGTCAACAGTGGTTGAGGCAATGTTAAATGAACCATGGCAAAGGGGTGTTTAACTACAAATGACTAAAATGACTTGCAGCCACACACGTAGAATACACACTGTTCAGGTTCAGAGAAATATCAGGCCCCTGACATTCACTTCACCTACATCCCCTATCTGATAAGTTTACCCCATGCTGAATCCTGTGTGTGTAGTTTTTATACATGTAGTGTACAGCTCATATACATCACCTGCTGATGGACTGCAAAAGAATTGAAACAGTGAGCTTGTTCAATCCACAAAAAATTGAATACTAACTTCTTTTAAAGCAAGCAAGTCAAATAATCACAACTTATAGTGCTTCCTCTGTGATGTCAACCAAAAATATCAAATATCTTTTTGGGCTTTTGGAAAGTGCAGCTATATAATGCAATATTTTTTAGTTATGTAAACTGATTGCTGCTATGGTCATGCGTTCTCACATCTCTTTTAAAAGCGTATAGTAGGTCAGATATGTCAGAGCTAATCGTGCTCGTCATTCAGTGGGTCACTCTGTGACCCAGGGCCGTGCAGAGAGGTTTAAAGGGGC